AAAAAAAAAAAAAAAAAAAAAGCTTACTCACATACTAAGCCTCCAACCAACACCAATACCATCCCATCCCAAACCAGCCCACACCAACCCATGCACCATCTCCCAGGGATACACAAGAAGCGAACTCCGATGTAAGAACTTACCTATCCTATGTACTCCAGAGTCTAGGTATGTATGGAGCGGCTCATCACACCCCTCTTTTCCTTCTCAACACTAGTAAGAGGACACCAGGAGGGACTGGTAGAGTGGCTTGGAAGAGAAGGGAGGCTTGAGTGATGTTGGGGTCGGAGTAAGAAAGGTGTGAAAATCACCGATTACGGTTCCCTGCGGTACCATGCGGTGTTAGTGAGATGAGTCAATTGATGGGCTGGCTATGTATGGGACGAGGCTTTGGCTGTCGGTCTATATATGAGGAGTCTTTCCTTTTATGAATGTGGTTCTATCTCACTTCCACTTATCACTTAATTCAATACACACACATACCCTCTCCACTCCTAACAAAACCTCGTTTGATACATCTCCCACCATAACAAACCATCCATCCATCCTCAAAATAAACATCCAAACACACCACTCACCAGTAAATCTCCTCTCCCCCAACCTCCCCAAAAAAAACCCCTACAAATCCCCACAGCACGCTCCCACCCTCATGTCTCAACCACACTCCCCAAGAACCACCAAACAACCAACAGACACCACCTCAATGACCAGCACATCCACCATCCACTCCACAGTAAGCCTGCTCAAGGACAAACTCACACAAAAAGACCGCAAAGCCAAGAAGGCAATGAAAGCCGCCGCCGCACGATCAACCCTTTCGCAGGATGGAAAGGTGGTGTCGGAGGAAACCCGATGGGTCCCAAAGGATCCGGATTCCCGTAAGTCGAAGCCGTTACCTGGTTGGAATGGTAAGATTCGTTTTCTTTTTGGTGAGAGAGGGTGTGAAAGCTGATGAGTTGTGTGAATAGCGAGGGCGAGGACTGCGGAGGCTTATATGATACCTGCGATGACTCGTTGATTGATTGGGGCGCTGGGACAAACAAGTTTGCGATGAGTTGATAATGGATATGGGACCACCGAGGCGTTTGGAGTTGGGTGTGAATAATAGAAACAATGGGTGCTTTGTTGTTTGCGGGAAAGGAAATTGGTAGAGGGGGTTTTGTTCATGGAGATATGCTTGCGTTGGGTTCTATTCATTCCATATTGCTAGTAATTAAGCCTGGATCAAAAACTATCCTCCAAGTCATTGCTCATTCTGACCATACTAGGACTGTCGAGTTCATCCGAATCATCAAATCCTGCTCCAGCAGTCGTGAGCAAGTCTTTCACTATTCTCTGACTGGCTTCTCGCGCTATTGAAGGTTAGCTTTCGAATACTTGTACAATATAAAGTACTTACCAGGTGTTTGCAGAAGCCTCGATTGTGGTAGATTAAATTGAATGGTTTTGGGAGGACTCATGCCAAGTTCTCGATATACCCCCTCAGCATCTTCATCACTATCACTTTCCCAACTGATCTCATCCTTCTTCGAGAATTTGGGCATGACCTCCTTTGCCTTTCCTTTTGCTGGTGTTTGAACACTAACGCCAGGCGTTCTAGGAGCATTGTATTGCTTTCTGACTGGAGAACTGAATATCTCCGCACGGAGTTGGGGAGCTGCCTCTGGGGGAGAAGACATGGGCGATGATCCATTGTCTCGCCATGATGGTTTTTTGGAGGGTGTTTTGCTTTCTTTTTTATTCTCTCTTCGGGCTGTAAGTGGTGTAGCTTGAATTCTATAGTTCTTGTCGAGAACTCGATGAAGAAGAGGATCTTGATTAAGACGCTGGGTAGCATTTGATGGTACGTACTGAGTGGGATCAAATGGCGAAGATTCTGGTGTCATTGACATATCCGGATTTCTAGATTGAGCCCCTGGCGTAGTTGGTAGGATTTGGGTATCATCATCTTGCTCATATGAATCCCCCTTGTATTCCCGTTTTAAGTCTTCGTAAGGCGATGACATATCTGCCGTTCGTGGAGCGTCGCTAAACAAAGTCTTGGTGTGAGGAGCTCGAGGCGTACTTCCACTCATATCACCATCTTCAAGCAGAGAATCGTCCACATAGTGTTGTTGACTTGACTCCTCGTTCATGGTTTCGTCAGCCGGTCGTGAGGATTCGGCATATGTGCTTGCATCCTGGTGGGATTGTGTATATGACTGGTCTTCATCCTCCTCTCGTTCCTCTACCCCAGATAAAGAGACATTTGCGCTGGCCTCGAAAAATTGTTTCCAAAACTACCCCGCGGTTAGCTCTATCCAAATTTCCTTCCGACTGGCTGCCAACCTTGGATCCCTCCCAAACAGCTTTAGAATGGTCGGCATATTGATCAACAATAGGCAGAATACTCGAAGTCACAATCCTATGTGCTCTGCTGAAATTGTGGTCGATTTCTACTTGTCGTTAGTTGAGGTCTATTTTGGAGAGGCGCTGGAAATACCTTGTAGAGTTAGGGTAATGGATTGCTCGAGTTTCTCTAGCTCTTCCGTGAGAGTAAGAGGGCGTGCCGAGGACGAACTTGCCCGAGACATGTTGGTCTTAATGGTGAGCTGGGAATTTGAGTCGGAATGAGGGTGTTTGTATTTTGATATCGAGCGTTATCGCGACGCGAGGTTGGCGGTGCTTATCCAGTTGCGTGAAGACCCCTGTAAACTCAACACCTGAAGTGAAAGAATTTACTCAGTTGAAATCGTCCCAACGAAATTGAGTTAAATCATGCCAAATGAAATCATGTTTATTCATGATCAAAGAATGTTCCGCATGGAGACTGTATATAAAATTTGGGTCTTGCACTCAAATTGGGACTCTTGCCCCTATGCACTCCCGTTAATCAAACACTAGTGTAGTCCAGTTCCATGCACAATAACAGATTTCGAATCTAGGTCAAATAGCAACTATCAATTAATACGATCATGTGGGAATCAAAAGATAAGACTATCTCGTGAAAATAAAAACAATAACTAGGTTGGGCGTTGTGGTGTAAAGTCCACTCGATGACACAATCGCCGACAAGGATATCGGATAACAAAGATCTGGGAAAGCTCAAGCTCAAGCTCACCATCTCCAACTCAAACGCAACAACCAACCCCCAAAGATGTCAGTCCCACGCCTCGCAACCTGTCTCCTCCGAGCCTCACGCTCCTCAATAACAAGACCAGCAAGACAACTACAACCACGCACCCTCCCGGCAATCACTCCACGCAATGCGCCCACCACCTTCAAACCAGACCCAAGATTCAACTCACAAGCAGCAAGCGCTCAAAGCAAAATCTACACATATACAGAAGTGCGTCCCCCGCCATAGCTTATCCAAAAGCATCTTCTAATAATCATCTCAGGTTAAACGCTTCTCCGAGAACCCTTCTTCAAATGTAGTCCTTGTCGACACGCGCGAACCAGCAGAGCTCCAGAGCACAGGCACAATCCCAGGCTCCCTGAATATCCCCGTCAGCTCAATACCCGACGCATTCTTTATGATAGACGAAGATTTCGAGGAGCGCTTTGGGTTTGTGAGGCCGCCCAAGGAGAAGGAGATTATATTCTATTGCAAGGCGGGAGTGAGGAGTCGAGCGGCGGCAGAATTGGCGAGACAGGCTGGATGGCCGAAGGCTTCTGAGTACCCAGGTAGTTGGTTGGATTGGGAGAAGAATGGCGGTGCGAAGCAAAGCATTGATTGAGGAATTTTATGAAATGTATTCAGGAGGGCTGTTCTAAGCTGGAAGGGTTTGAACGTTCATACACACAAATGTTTGAACCATAATGGCTCTATTTTCATTCATAATTGAATGTATAAATACAATGCCTCAGAAGAAAAGAAGCAGACTCCTTCCCAATGCCAGTACACCCAAATAAGAAGCTAATTAATACCCACGAAACAATCTGGGATACGCAATACACCTAGAATCTTAAAAACGCAGCTGGAGGTGGAGTCGGCGTTGGAGTAGGGGCTGGCGTTGCTGCTGGCTTGTCGTCTGGTGGTTGAATGAGACTCCCACTAGCAAAGAATAGCCACTTGATAGCAATGGACAGAGCAGCATGTAAACATACTACCAGGATCAAAAGTACCTTGCTAGTCTGTTTGTCTGTCGCGCTCAAAACTGGGTAGAGATTCCGCAACAAGAAAGCCACACTGAGACCAAAGCCAACGCCCACAAACACCCAGTTCAATATGTTGATAGGTGACCATGAGATCAATGCCACTGGGATCCAGATGATATTGGCATATCCGTACAAAGCCCAACATTCAAATATATTGGCAGATTCGCTGCCAAAGTATTTGAGCGCGAGAAAGAGCACCATTGGGATAAACAATGTATAGCCGTAAACGAGTCCAGCCGCACCTGAGAAATGTTAACTTCGTACAATCCATCCTCCCAGTAACGCTTACCACTCAAAAGCTTGAAATCATAGATGAAATGATCCTGCCCTGACTTTGCCAGGTATTGGTTGATTGTCCCGCCGAGAAACAGGATGAACACAACCGTAGTCGCAATCCATATCGGTCCGTATAAATCAGGATTTCCCTCTAGAACATCCAAGAAGTTCACTCGAGGATATAACGCTGCCCAACATCTTGAAAGAACTGAGGTTGTGTCAACGTCGAAGAACTGCGCGTAAAAGGATATCGACCAAAGATATCGTTTCGAGAAGCCACTGCTGGCAGTTGCAGGAGCAGGGAGACCGGAAGAAGCTCCCGGCAACTTGCGCGATCCGGAAGATGCGTCGGTATTGAAGTTGGACGAGTGAAATTCTAGATCCTCCTGGAGATCTGTATGTCCAAGGTCGCCCTGAAATACCGATTAGATTGGTTCATAAGCTGGCTGAACTTGGGAATTATCATCACGTTAGGCTTTCTTACCTCTTCATCAACATCAACTACCACGTCATACCCAGCGCCAGACATTTTGTTTGTAATGTTAGGTTGTCGAATCTGTTTTTGTATTAAGGAGTTGTGACCAGACATGCCAGATAGGCTTTGAAGAGCAGCACCCCTGTCATCACGGCCCGGTCTTCTTGGAGCCGCATACCTACTCCATAGGCAGCCCCCACCAACAATCGCATTCAATGGCGGGGTACAGCTCAGTCAAAGGTTCATAAAATCAATCTTTAGGAGAGTGATTACGATACAAGGGTTAGCCAAAAGTGAAGTCACTGATAAATATTCTCAAATTTCCTCAATTGCGATGTCAAGTTTGTGCTACTTAATAAATTTACGGCTTCTTTCCTAACACTTCAATATCATTTATATGGGTGCACAATAACGGCATGATTCCATTCATCAATGACTATTCGAGGAAAGCTGCTATAAGGGGTTTGGTGGACTTCGCAGTCGCATATGCTAGTCCAATTGCTAACAAGCTCATGGTCATTTTGAATTACTCGCATTCAAGTTTTCATAAACTGTCGAGGAAAGTTAAGGTTAATATATCTGGACACTCCAGGGCGGTCTAGAGAAGCACCAGGAAAGGGAGATGGGGTGGGAAAGTTGAAAACAGGGCCACGCCGCTCTGCCCATAAATACCGTCTTCAAATATGTCCAACTTGCATCATCTTTCCGCGTTCTCAAATTCTTCACAGTATGAAAGTCGGACCTTGCGAAAATTCATTGATGGTTTATTCCATGGTGTCTTGATCATTGTCCCATATGCTTGCCTCTTGCTATCGTGGAAAATACAGCCAGACATGCAACCAATTCATCAAATACCGCCCCAATCCATTTGTCCATCCCAGCCAAACGCCAATGGAGCGAACCGTTCACTTTAGCTTCTTCTTTGGTCGGAGTTGGTTGGTGTGTCCACATTTCTTCTTTCTGCAGTTGGTGGCACGAGGTGGGAGACGGGCCTACGATGCTAATTAGTATACTGTCCCTCGATCGATTCGTGGTTTATGCCAATCAAGTACGTACGTAGCACTTTCGGCAGATCATCTTGTCGCAGTTGAACTTGGAGGCAAGAGCCTTGAGCGATGGCTCAATGATACCACCACGGAGACGGAGAACGAGATGGAGGGTAGATTCCTAGATGTCGCATTGTCAGCCTGCGCGCCAATTCCAGTCCAGGCTCATATGCAGTTCGCCCAATTCAAATCCCCCGTCATTTCTATCCTTCAGAATCCTGCCTACCTTTTGGATGTTGTAGTCGCTGAGGGTTCGGCCGTCTTCGAGTTGCTTTCCGGCGAAGATCAGACGCTGTTGGTCCGGTGGGATTCCCTCCTTGTCCTGGATTTTGGATTTGACATTGTCGATTGTGTCAGAAGACTCAACCTCTAGAGAAATCGTCAGCTCGTGAAATCATCGTCATGCAGGAAAGAAGTACATGCCTAACGTGATCGTCTTCCCTGTGAGAGTCTTGACGAAGCTATAGAAGTGAAGGTTAGTCGTCGTTCGCTCAATGTTCGATGTCGCGGAATAGTCTGGACAAGAAGTGGTTTTGGGAGAATGGCTTGGAGACCTACATTTGCACTGGAAAAAGAGCACGTCAGCATGAGTCTTGTATGGCTGTAATGTCAATCAACAGGGCATTGTACTTACTCGTGGCGGTTTCGTCGAAAAGTTGTCGTTGATCTTGATCTCGAAGGTCCTGACATGAGGTCCTTCCATTTGTGCGCGAAATCCAGCGTCAGGTGATCTCGCTAATAATCCGGTCCGGGGTCAGGGTGGGCTGGGTCGGCCTACCTCCTGCAGGTGGACAAGAAAAGTGGCAGAGATTCAATTCTTAACTATTAGCGCAAGTTGATTCTAAATACTAGAATATTTCAAATAACTAGAACAATTACTTTCATTGTGCTATCGTTTTAGATAAATCATTCTAATTGTTCCACACAAATAATATAATATAATGGGTTTTAGGTAAGTTAGGATGGGATAAAAGAGGTCTCTGCCACTTTTCTTGTCCACTGGGAGCCTACATTTACTTGAGCTCAATTCTTAAACAACAATCAGGATTATGTTTGGTTTGATGATTCTTTAGATCTTTTCAAGCAATAGAGTCAACATTATTAGGGCTCAATCAAGTCACAAAATCCCCAGAGATTTCTTATTCAGTACTCTATAATCTTACAAACTATCAAAAGTGATTATACCAAAAGTCCGGGACAAGCAAACTAATTGTCCCATTCCATCTAGGTCAATCACGAAAAGTAACAATTGTTCTAAACCCATCGGATAATTGAGTTAGTTGTGCAAGGTCTTTGGGATAATAATATTAGAATCTAGGTGTGTAAGATTACAGAATAGTAACCAGCAGGTCTCTTCCTCCCTTCGAATGATCTCGATCGAGAGATGATCTAGAGTTGCGGAGACAGATTCAAGGCTCTTCAAGGTAGTCTGTTAACAGGGAGTATTCGACCATGTACTAGTCGACTGTCTACTTGCTGCTTCAAAAAGGCTGCGCAGACATCTTTGCGGCGGTTAGTTGGTATCATTAACCAGATCTGAGAATTACGCATTGCTGTTTTTCTAAAGGTTGATATTAATTTAAGAATTTTATTCGCACAATCATCTTATCACAATGAGACTACCTTCATTCACAGACCAAGTATATCACTTTCGTCAAGAAACCTGCCAAACACCTCGCTTGCTCATCGGGTATCTTACGATCTTTCCCCCTAACGCCCACTTCACTTAGACATCATACATCTCAACCAAACCCAACATTCAATAATCCTCAGAAGAAGAATCCTCATCACGATCCCCTTGTGTCCGATTCCTCCTCTCATTCCGATGCCACCTCTCCAAACGAACCTCCACTTGAAAGACGCTCTTGACAAGCATATCCACACTGGTACCGGCGCTTTGAGCTATTCCTTTTTTAGCCACGTATCCCGTCAACAACATGAGAAGAAATCTTACCAGCCAATTCATAGAAAGCCTTTGCAGTATCGGGTAGCTCTTCAGGGGACCGATAACGTTTGTAAAACTCTCCAGGCCGTTTGACGCCCGGTTTATCCCCATCACCGACGGATTTGTGTGGGATGGGGATGAGATGCTGTTGAACTTTTTTCAGTAAGTTTATGGGATCTGTTGACTCTGCATTATCTGGTAGTCGAGGAGGTAGATCTTGGAGTGGGAAGAAATCAAGGATTTGCTTGGCCACTATTATTGATTTGCGTTAGTAAACGAAAGAGAAGACGAGAGAGGATGAGGGACAACGACATACACTTTGGATCTCGATCATCAATCCGAGTCCGTTGATACCAATCAAGATAATCATCAATCTTCTCATCACTCATTTTCAAAACATCCTTGTCGGTAACCTTCAATTCCTCCCCTCTCCGTAATCTCTTCGACGGCCCTTGAATCATGATCTCGCTCCATGTTGTCCAGTCAAGCTTCATGGTCGTTGGATCGGATCCGGAGTATGGTAGACGGGCAATGTCATCAAACGGATAACATAATTTTGTTGCTACCACGATAGCGCTGATGATCTGGAGTTCGGGGTAGGCTGATGCTTCGCGGTTCTTTGTGGAGGACACAGGATATGAAAAGTCGGATTCTAGCATTTCTGATAGACGTCGAGCACCAGAGTATATTTCGACTGCTTCTATGTCATTATTTTGTTTCTTGGTGTTTATTTATTTTGAGGAAAACTTACTGGGGAGGGCGAGATCTCGAATATGTTTGTACATGACGAGGGGGTAGTTGATTGAGGGGAAGATCATATTCAACTGAGTTTTGTAGAATTCAACAAGTTGCATAACAGAGGTTTGAAGGTTTTCTCCCCTCAACGGTGCCTTGATATCGAATGATGCAACTATGGGAGGTGGAAGTTTTCTCCGCATCTCCAATGGGATCTCTTTCGTCTGTGAGATATTAGAAAAAGGTTCCAAAAATAAACTTGCGTGAAAGGAAGCGCAGAATAATAAAGCAAACTTACAGCTCGAGCATAAACCATCTCCTCGTTCGTCGCCCATCTGAACAGATCCCCTAGACTCGTTGGCAGCCTCATGAGCAACATCCCCAGATAGCACAGACCCAGCGTCTCAATCAATTTCGGCATCCTCTCATCCCCCGCGATACTCCTTCGACTCCGTCTGGAAGATACACTCTTGCCATCACTCTCAGTATGTTCCGCCTCACTCGCCGAGCTAAAGAACGTCCCAGACACCGACCCATAGCTCTTATCCCCAGCCTTGATAAGCTTACCAACTCTCAGACCCCACAGATCTTTAACCACAGTCTCAAGCTCAGACGGAAACCTCTTCTCATTCACAAGCCAATTGCATTGTTTCCAGAGGATCAACTGATAGCATTGCAAATACAAATCGATGGCGTCCTGGCCGCTCAAGATGCGCTCAACGCGTTCTTTCTGCTCTTTCTGCTTTCGCGACTTTTTCCCTTGAGTATTCCAATCATCCTCGTCTTGCTGTGTTTGCGTGAAGCCCTATTTCCTGTCAAACAAAGTACCGGTACTGCGTTGTCGTGATGGGGACTAACAGCTTGCTCGTGTCCTCGCTGACAGAATTTTCTGCCATTTTCGAGGTAGTACTTTCGGGACCTGCACCCCTCCTCGGTGCAGCTATCACCACGTCGAAAACGTTGATACTCTATATTTTGCGACATTTTCACTCCAGAAAGTACAGGAGTAGCTTACAAGGCGGACAAACTTAGGGGGGGAAGGTTGAGCGCAACGGCTTTTCTACAAATGCGCCAATCTCGGAAGGGCTACCTTGTACTAATATTTATTCCAATCACTCACTTCACAAACGACAGATTACATTACATCACAACAATCCTAGTTCCGCTCAATATGGTACGTATCAATAATATTTTTTGTTTCGGAAAGCATCGATTTCTACAAGGAGATGTTGTGCCACATCTCAAGTGCACTTTTTGACTACGCCGGCCAATCGTGATCATGTAGCATCGAGTAAAAAAGAGGAAGATGTCGTCCGCAAAGCCCAGATAACAGATCAAATCTTTCAAAGATCCTCTACGCAACGACCTTGAGAATGGAGGTCCTCAGAGTCTCAAGAATCCACCCATACTGAGTATCCTCCAGACTATCGAGCCTTCAAACAAATCTAGTATGCCATCGCTGACAACAAGGTCGGAGTCAAGTTGAGGAACTCTAAGAGCGAGGAGCCTCCTTGGCTTCAATAGCAAGTTGCTCGCCCATAGCAGTAAGAACAATAACGTCTGATGCACGTTAGAAATCAACAAGAACACCCATAATGGATGGAAATACTCACTGGTGTCCTTCTCCTCAGTGGTGAACAACTTCTCGATCTTCTCACCAATTTCTCCATCAGGAGTCTTAACATCGTCTTTGGTCTCGCCGTCATCAGCCATCAAGGAAAGGAATCCATCATCGGAAATATCAAGCTACAGAAGAACTCGTTAGTCTTTTCTCGCCTGAGAAGGCGAAGGCGGGGTATTGCAAAGCTTACCAATTGGTATTCCTTGCGAATGACATTGGGGACGTCCATGTTGTGGGTAGATGGGCAAAGTTCTTCGAGTTTCTTGCCGGTAAAGATGTCGATAGCGACGAGATGGACTTTAGCGTGACCGTGCTTGCCAGTCTTGGAGGTGGACATGTCAACAATCTTGCAAGGACGGTTCTTGATGCAAACGAAACCGTTCTTTCTCAAGGCCGAACATTGCATAGGGTAGGTGGCAGAGGCGCCTGCATCGGCGGAGTCGAAGGTGTGCTCATGCTATAATATCACGATGCTTCGTTAGCCGATGGCTCGTCTCGTCTCGCAGATTGCGAGATTATCCTCGAAAAGACGCAGAGCCATGATCCTGATTGATCTCTTGAATGCGCCCACCCGACCATGGCGGGGTGCCGTGCGGGGTCCTGGTCTGGAGAAAAAGTGAACATTCTTACCTGCGCGTCGTCCGCCATCTTGAATGAAGTTGCAAGGTAAAGATGGAGTGTAGTGGAGGTATGGGCAGTTGAAAAGGCAAGGAGACCAAGGAGAGGAATAGATTGTCGGGAGAGTGGTGGAGCGAACTTGGGAAGGTTGTTAAAGACTTTCAAAATCGAGTTATGTGCGGGCAGCCTAAAACTGGAGCCACGCCGGGTTGGCCAGTGAGGGCACCAGGAAAGGTGGAGTCGGCCTGTGGCCAATAAAAGCGGCAGCTACCAGATCTGGCTTGTGAAGACAAGGAACACACCCTGGAAGCCGATGCGGATTTACCGCTGCTTTTGTCGAAGCGAACATCGTGAGTGAGGAAGGCACGATGAACAACCGGGCTAGACTCCGTACCAACTGCCTTACGACTCACTATACTCGAGTAGGTATTCATCCACTCGGCCTGGGTCACACTCCTCACTAGGACTCCCGTCCTTACTAGTACTTCTTACTAGTCACCTACTTGGGTCACTACACCTACTTAGGTAACTACTAGGCGGTCTACAGGTACCAGGCAGGGAATCGTCATGAGCTAATCCAAATAGCTACGGTACGAGTACGCACCTGGAATAAAGCAGCAGATGTTTCAAGGCAAGGAAGGGGCTTACTTAACAAGTATCACCTCTTCCATACCAAGCACACCTACAAAATCAAGTACTACTACAAGTTACTAGTAAGTACTCGCAGGTATCTATTGTGCATGAACAGCTGTGAAGAGCAGGAGATACTTCCACGTCCTATCACAATATGAGTGGCTCACTTGGATTCATGAGTTAATTACCTCAACACTTTCCAAACGTCTGATCAAACATTTTCAATTGTTCGAGCGTATTCAAATAACTACAACTATAGGTGTTCCAATTCTAAAAAAATCAAATCAATCTACTCATAATGTGGCGTTGCCATGCCTTCATTGAGGAGGTACGCTCCCGGTAGACAAGAAAAGTGGCAGAGACCTTATCCTAACTTAAATAAAAACCATTATATTATATTATTTATTTAGAATAATTAAAATGATTTATCGAAAACGGTAGCACAATGAATCCAATTGTTCCAGATATTTCAAACATGTTAGTACTTAGAATTTACTTACGCTAATAGACAAAAAAATGAATCTCTGCCACTTTTCTTGTCCACCGGGAGGTACGTATCAATAGGCGCCACATACCTTCACTGGTACAATGAGAACTGGTTGCAAATCCACAACAGTCATCTCCCACCTCAAAAAATACTCAGCTGAAATTCAGATCCTCATCAATCTCACATACCCAGTATTTTCTCTCCCTAAACAGCTCTAACCTACTATCAAGCGCCGTGCTTCGTGGTGCCGCCCATCCCAAGCTAGCCTGTTTGGGAATCCTCAACTCCTTGACCTGGGAGCTCTGGCCTGTTGTTGGCTTGACGTACTCGAGTATTCCGCCCCAAACCCCATTGAACACCTACGAATAGTGCACATTTTCGACCATGGTTCTGTCAGTCTCCGAGAGGCTCGATACTTCACGCTGAAAACCGGTCTTGATGCCACGAGGAGGAGGGGGATATGTGGCTCGACCGGCTATCGGGGCATTCGACGCCTGCCTCTACTGGAACTCCCCCACCAGGGAGTGCGAACAGATCATACTCTCCAGCACCACGCCGGCAAAGTAATCTAGGACCTCCTTCTTCCTTGCAAAGACCAGGCTTCAATACTCGGTCATCTTCCTTGTCCTTGCTCTCCAATGACTCTACAACGTCTCTGCTGTCCTCTCGATGGCCTAATGGATCGAATCTCAAACGAACGGCAACCATAGTAGATGTGCCAGATCCTCTCAAGGTTCTGGGCAACATTGTGGGTTCAGAAGATACTAAAGGGGAGGAGATTGATGAGGATTGGGAACTGGAACTTGATTTCGACGGCCTTGGGCTGCACGAAATAGCAGAGGATCGAACGACTTCCGGGGGCATTATCTCTCAGAGTCTCGAAGAGTGTATGCCTATCTATTACTTTTGGCTACACAGATGCTGATCGCGAATTTTAGTTGAGAGGGACAGATACAAGTTTGACAGCCTCCACCAATCAATTCATGACTGTGATGAAGTGCTAAATAGTGTCGAACTCAACCTAAATAGCTTTCAGAGCGACCTTGCCGCGGTTTCGACGGAGATAGAAACATTACAAGCGCGATCCACTGCATTGAGCGTCAGGTTAGAGAATCGAAAAGTGGTTGAAAATGGCCTGGGCCCAATCGTGGAAGAAATCAGCGTCTCCCCAGCCGTTGTCAGGAAAATTGTTGAAGGGGCCATCGATGAAGCTTGGGTTAGGGCTTTGGCCGAAGTCGAGAAGCGTTCCAAAGCCATGGAAGCTAAATCCAGGGAACATAGGAATATAAAAGGCATTGATGACCTTAAGCCATTGCTGGATAATCTTACCAAGAAGGTCCGTCATGCTCCCAAAGTATAATATGGTCATACTGACTCTTGCAGGCTCTTGAGAGGATCCGAGACTTTCTTGTTGCGCAAATCAAGGCATTGCGTTCACCTAATATAAATGCCCAGATCATACAGCAGCAACACTTTATCAGGTACAAGGATTTATATGCATTCTTGCACAAATATCACTCCAAACTAGCCGAGGAGATTGGTCAAGCATATATGAATACAATGCGATGGTACTTTCTGAACCAGTTTACCCGTTATCTCAAAGCTCTTGAGAAAGTTAAAGTCCACGTGCTTGACAAATATGATCTTCTTGGTCAAGATGATGGAACTCGAAAGACAAATATCTTGTCAAGTTCGAAGAATGCAGCGCCAGCGCACGATGCGTTCAATTTGGGCCGACGATTTGACCTCCTCAGAACGCCCAACCAAACGGCACTTTCTTCGTTTTTAGCAGAAGAGGATAAGTCAACACATTATTCCGAGTTCCCATTCAGACATTTCAACCTCGCTCTTGTCGACAATGCTTCAGCTGAATATTCCTTTCTTACCACTTTTTTCGCGCCAGCATTGTCATACTCGACCATATCGCGGCATTTCAACTACATTTTTGAGCCAACATTTGCTCTTGGGTCTGGCCTTTCGAAATCTCTTTTCCATGAAACCTACGATTGCTTGGGGCTCCTCTTGTGTGTGAGGTTAAATCAGCACTTTGCTTTTGAGCTCCAACGACGCAAAATCCCGGCCGTTGATGGGTATATCAATGGAACTAGGATGCTGTTGTGGCCTAGGTTCCAAGTTATCATGGACCAACACTGTGAATCGGTGCGGACAGTCACCAATAGCGTTTCCACACGGAAACCATCAGCCTCGGAGCAAGCAAAACAGTCTGCTGCTCCACACTTTATGACACAACGATTTGGGCAATTTTTGCATGGCATCCTAGCATTAAGTACTGAAGCAGGTGACGATGAACCTGTCTCAACAAGCTTGATCAGGCTTCGAAGTGAAATTGAAGCGTTTCTGACCAAAACGGCCAAAAGCTTTGGCGATTCTAGGAAAAGGGAACGATTTCTTTATAATAACTACTCGTTGATTCTCACGATTATTGGAGACGTGGAAGGAAAACTAGCTCTTGAACAACAAGAGCATTTTGAGGGCCTGAAAACGGCATTTGCGGGAACGTAGTTAGATTCTTGGGTCCATACCCTGTAAAATACAATCTATTTTTTGGCCATCTAAAATTTCAAGTTTATCTGTTATGAAAAGCTGTAATGTGACAACCGGGACCAAAGGGAACCCAGTATATCAGATTGTATCGCCGTCTTCCTGGCCCAGAACGACACCAGCCCAATGAGAACGGCCAATCCAACGGTCTGAGCAGGCTTTCTATATCTCCAAAGTGTCTTGAGAACCTTGTCACGTTGTTCTGCCCGTTCCAATTCCTTGACTTGTCTCTCGAAGTACGCCTTACCATCTTCAAGCGATTGACTCAACACTTGATTGGGCCGCAGTGCCGTTTTCATGACACTGGAGCTCGATATGGATCTCCAGGGTTTAAGGGTTTCTGGTGGATGCTTCTCAATCAACTTTACGGTGCCTTGGATCAATGCCTCCAGATCCAATGGCTTCGGAAGCTTGGAAAGAATTGAATGAAGCATCTCAGGTTCATCTGCGGGCGTCTCAAAAAGCTCGTCTGAGCGCTTTAGCACAATCTGGGCAAACATATACACCGGGAAAACTGCTTCGCGAGCTAGAAATACATCGAACAATCGAGCAATATCGCCGTATTCCTGGATATCATGAGCGTACATTGTGAGGGTGCCAGAAAGGGCGAAAAATGGCTGGGTTTCGGAGAGATGATGATACAATTTCGGATTGACGGCATATAAGATGGCTGGTATGAGGCGCAACTGGGCTAGCGCCGGCGTGAGGGTGGGAAGCATAAAATCGCGAATACGCAGAGTGGAAAGTCGAGATACAGCTACCGCGCGGCGTGGTGGTTCCAGGACCAGGAGAAATACCTGACAGATATCATGATAGCCTTGGAAATAGCAGAGATATGGCTGGCGTCGCAGAACCTCTGTGATCAGATTTGAAAGCTCTTCTTTCTTTTGATCCAGATCCCTCGAGGATTGGTCTGTGCGAATTGATCAGCTCCGTTGCTCTGCCTCTATGTGATATGTGACAACAATACGGGCATGACGTACTATTGGGATAGTATATAAAGGATCTGTTCACATCGAGCTGAACTTGTCCTTCATCACGATGCTCAGGAAACTGCTTCCAGTCCTCCCTATCGCCCTTTTCTCGTTCTGTATCGCTACTCTGACTCGGTTCTCCGAGCAGTAAAGGCCCTAGTGGGGATCAGCTTGACCCTCAGAGACGCTGTTAGGCAGCAATTGAATACGAACATGTCAGTCTGCGAAGTTGGTCAGAGATTAGACCTCCCTCGCTGGTTGCCAGAGCCTTCAACCGGTCAACATCTTTCCATTTGCACGCATCGTGGATTTCCTGAGTCTTTTTCTCCTGTTGGTCGAGAGGCAGCGCTCTATCGTCGTCGTGTTCCTGAGGGAATGGTTCCGCATTTGGTTCCATATCGCGGACAGTGGTCCATGGATCCTTCAATCATGGCATTTGATGAAGGGGAGCAGAGGGGGAGGTCGAGCCAACAAAATTTGGTCGTCGCATTCCTAGGAGGGGGGGTTTCCGGGGAGCAGGGCAGGTTCCAGGTCGTCGCGATAGCTCCGACTCGCCAAAAGTTTAGCGCGTCTGCCCTCCGAAAAGCTCGCCTGAGGTGCAGCAGATGATCGGTTCGGTCCAGTCCAGCTAGCTGCATGGCAGAGAAGCAGGCTCAAGGTCGCAGGGTGTACAAAAAATGATCTGTCAATTCCGGATCAACACCAGAAAAGGAGGTGCTGACAGAAGGAATTGAGGCGGTCCATGAGCAAACTCTCTTCTCTGTCATCGCTTTGAGGCGTTCTGCCTCCCTTTTGCACGGTCGTCGCTCATCTCGCTTTGCCCTGGCTCCTGAGCGCAAGCTTCGCGAACAAGCATCCGTTGCCCCATCTAGTACGGAGGTACACTACCTGGTACTTCAACAGCCTTGTCGCAAGGCTACCACGGTTCTGCGATATCGATAGGCATTTCCAACCGATCTCCAGCTTTGGTGTTGTCTCTCAAAAGGCATATTGCGCCTCTTTCTCCGTCTCCAGCTTCCCTATGACGAACGGTTCATGCTCTGATATCCATATATCCCCTCCCGTTGCCGCTTCCTGCTCCGACCAGTGTCGCAAGAACCACTCTTGAGGACCCAGGCTAGAACCAAACCAACCGGATCTAGGAAACGCCTCTAGGAATCTGGTAGTCAGCACCTCCTCAAGTCGGATCCTCGCCAGCTGGTAATCTGAAGCGTGCCATTCCAGTCCATCCTTCCTATTGTATGGCAGCGTTGCGAGCACCTTGTCGTCATGGCTTTTGAGACGAGTTCTTTGGTCAATGGGCAGTGGACGACCCGAACCATGGGCTTGGACGCCGTGTTACAACACTACAACCAAGAGGACAAGGAAGCGAGGATGGCTCATGTCGAGGTCGAACAAGCTCCAACCCTTGGCCTGTTGACCCAGACGGTAATACGTAGCCCTTTGGCTCACTGGATCTTGCCAGTGCGACTGCGGAGCCAGGAAAGTAACGATGTTGTGTTTATAGGGGTAAGGATTTACTTCTCCTTCGGTTCCATTTCAGAGAATCCCCTTTTCGGAGACTGCTTTGTCTTGGGGTTTGGGTGCCGTGATATTCCTCTAGGACTCGTTCTCTGAAGCAATGCTCTTCAATGTTGAATCCCTTGTTCTGTGTCTCCTTTTCCGCAAATGACTGCCTTGCAATTCAGAGTTTAACAGCATACTGATTTTTCCAGGATGACTTTGTCCAGGTCAAAGAGCCGCGGCCTGACAGACAGCTATGGGATGTCATTAGGAAAGAAAATTTTGGCGCTCGCATTCGAAATGCTCGTGTGATGGGCTCATTGAAAGGCTTCAACAGCGAAAACACAAATGGCTTTGGAAGCCAACAGATCAAAGACGAAGAGGTTGATGTCTTAATGGATGCTACGGCTAATCTTGAACGCCATGCGCAGCGAGATGGTTCCGTCCTATCTCCTCAATGCATTCTTCTACAACTGGATACTGGCGATTCTGTATTCTTGATGCTACAACGTACCAAGACAGGGAGCTTGGAGTTTGTCTCCAGCGTTTGTAAACGCGTTCCAAAGCCAATGCTGGGTCTTCAGCCTGGGACACACCTTGCGGTGGATCCGAGTTCTCGATATATGGTTGTGGGGTGTTCTGAGTCTCTCTTTGTCATCTATGCATTGCGCCCTAGAGAAGAAATATCTCTACAATACCAAAGGGGGTTACCGATACAACCCATCGAGGAACAAAGTTCGAAGGTTATCAATCCAGGTGGCGTCATTCTGAAGTTGGAGTTTTTGTATCCGGCCGCGGACGATGAGGCACATGTCGTTCTCCTTGTAGTGATAGTTAAGAAGGGAAGGACTCGTATGATGCTATACGAATGGGAGACCGGCAGGGAGCTCAGTGAAATTCGACCTAATACTCCGAGGGGTCACGGACTAGCACCGGACTGCCAAATGCCACTGCTGCTAATTCCTTTAACGATCAAGTCGTCGTTTTTACTCATTTTCGAAGACTCTGTTAAAGTCTGCCAACGATTTTTAGAAGGGACCCCAATTCTTACCGATGTGAACCCATTTACAACGAGTAATTCTACGACGAACGTGCATACTGGGAAGTCAACCCCGCTGTGGGTAGCTTGGGCTAGATCCGAGCGAATGGATTACTATACTTCTAAAGGCCACGAGGATATCTACCTTGTGCGCGAGGATGGTGTTCTAAAACTACTAGAAATCGATGCGAGCTCAGATGCAGTTGTTAGAACTGGCGTTAACGTAGGCCCTTTAGGCAAGAATTGTGGCACGGCTTTGGCAAGTCTGATTTACAACACCTATAAGACCTACGGAGGAGGTGGAGACTTGCTGGTGACAGGAGGCACTTCTTGTGGGGGAGGGTCATACTTGGTAAGTTCTGCAATTCGAGCAATAGCTTGGTAATTTGTCAATTTGTGTGCCCCAATTTTTGGCGTTGTCCTATATCTAATCATTCGCATAGGTTCAAGCAAGAAAAATCCCTACTTTTGTAGAGCCAATTCAGAACTGGTCTCCATCAGTAGATTTAGCAACAACATTCAAGCCTCGGGTTTCTGAGCCCGCGAGGGAGGCTGTAGGAATTCACCGACGGCGGGAAGTTGTTGCTAAGCCCGATCGGATATTTTCTTGTGTTGGTAGGGGATCAACTGGGGCAGTTGCTGAACTACGATATGGCTTTGAAGCCAAACTGGGACTCGAGGTAGATTATCCAACTCTCATTCTAGAGGCTTGGGCTCTATGCCCATCTTTTAATTCTGGTGGAGACGACGACGGCTCTTTATTTCTTCTTTCGCTTCCAGATCGATCGGCGGTACTTCGACTTTCGGGTGATGCCTCTGCAATCACCGATGATGAGGAAAATACAAAGTTTGATTTACGTTTTCGAACGATCACAGCCAGCATGCAGAGAGGTCATACAATACAAGTTACGGAACAATCCATAGTTATCATAGATGGTGACTTGTAAGTTGATATGTGTTATGACCCTAAAATTTTCCAAAGCTGATTCTAGAAGCCATCATATATATGAAGGAGAAGAAGTTCTCCGTTTGGAGGACGGTGAGAATGGTGTCTTTTTGGGTCTTGGAGAAATCATCAAGGATGCCGTCATCCACGAAGACTTTGTCCTTTTTACCACCGAGTTTGACGGCTCCACGTTCCTCCAGGTCCTGAGGCTCAATGACACAAGTGGGATTGAGACGAGTGAAAATTCGCTTTTTCGTTCACCGCCGGTGGTGCACACAATTGGCAGGCATATACCTCAGGTCACCAGCGTTGGTGTATGTCACATGGCACAGAACACCTACGCCATTACTGCAGAGAAGACTGGCCAGTCAGCTTTGCTCAAATTCACACCCATTGATGGCACGGAGTCGCACAGTGTAGGCATATCTACGAATTATTGTGAGAAAACGATTAACATTGGGGACATCACGAGCATGGCAGTATCGTATCAACGGCCTGGCTTGCTCACTCTGTTGTGTGGTACCCGTAATGGCTTCGTGCTCACAGCAGTTATAGATAATACAAGTCACCAAGCGGAGAGCTTTGGCTATACCCGTTTTGGATTGAACGAAGCAATGGTTACCAAGGATGCTCACTCAGGTTCAAAAGACCTCTATTTTGTGGTCTGTGACTCGAAGGTCTACGGCTTAACCCCTGGACTTAGGAGAGAAGACATACATCAAGTGTGGCTTACGGACGTAGCAAGACCAGAGCTTAACCAACCTGAGATCAATTCAATAGCAAGACTACGACCAAATCTTTCCGGTGGAAAGGATGGCGGGCTTCTGATGGTGGCTGGACATCAACTACTGTTGGCTAGCTTCAGTACGCAGGGGAAAACAGTTCCGCGATACTTGCCAGTCAAAGGAACCCCGACACGATTGCTTTACTCGCATACTCTCCAAGTTGTTATTGTAGCAGCAATTGTGGAGGGTAAGACTACTCTTTTACTCATTGACCCGGACACAGGTGATGATCTTTGTGTGCCGTGGGATATGAAGCACCGAGAGCTTCTCGACTTTCCGAAATATCTCGGTGGGACAAACGAAACCATTTTCCACCTGTTGGAATGGTCTCATGTCAAAGACAACCAAACCTTTCACTTCATCATCGTTTGCACAAGCTCTGGGAGGTTTTTGATAATGAAACCAATACAATATGAGGGTGACAGATGGACAAAATCCGGCAGACCGAAGATTACGGTGTATACAAATCATAGCTGGAAGTGTCAAGACCCGATATATTCCGTTGTTGGGCTCCCAAGCGGTCTTGTGTGGTGTTGTGGTGAAAAGCTCTTCTACGAAGTCCTGCTTAGAAACAAAGAGTTCAAACGTATGGCCAGCTACGATCTTCTTTCGCCTGCTACGTCGCTTGTGCACGAGGATGGAGTTATCTATGTCCTTACTAGCTGCCACTCGCTCGAAATTCTCAAGCTCACGGAAGATAGCAACGGGAACTTTAAGTTTGTCAAAACACATGTTGATGAGGTTGCTCGCAATACTCTGCACCACGGGATTGTCGAGCGTGGCTTGGAAAAGCCAATTCATTTGATCTCAGACAAGCATTCCTCGGTTGTCGGATCATGGGCCACGCACGACACTAAGGCCGATATTCTTGAGACAATCTTTGAAGCAGAGTTAGCTCATTCCATTCTCAAATTCCGGCTGAGCAAATGTCGTCCAGTGTGGGACTCCTCTTGGAAAACCCCCTTCAGTCAATTCTTGGTAGAGGATACTCCAGAGACCCTCGGCTTGTCCATCAACGGCGCTCTTTCCCACTTCACTGTTCTCAAATTTGAAGCTTGGAGGTTCCTGAGATTCTTTATCAATCTGGCCTTGCGGTCACCAGAAGTTTGCGAGTTTACCTATAAAGATGGTGAGATTTCATTGGAGCCGCCGCGAACTCCCAAACTCATGATGCATATCGATGGGGATATCTTGAAGCGCTGCTTGGAGGGCAATCATTTAGAAAGACTTTTGGATATGGGCGTGGGTGGCTCTGAAGTCCAGGAGAAGTTTGAGAAGTTTTACGAAATCATCCAGGCGCTTCATAAAGGGACGCTTGAGAAGAATGCTGATCCTGCTGTTTATGTGGAGCAGGCCTATCAGGATCTATTGTTCTTCTTGCGACCGGTTCTGTAGGTATGTTTGGGAGGGTGTATACGAGAATTAGAGGTTGTGCGTATGTGCTCAGGTTGTGGAGGCTGGTTACTACTAGTTAGTTCACTTTCTGTAGGTAGGTAGGTCCTTTTAGGTTATGAGAAATGATACTATGACTTTTTGAGACTTGAGGGTTTGTGTGAGGTGTGAAAGTTAGAGTATATGATTGGACGATATTCGTAGTTGGGCAAATCGACATCTGCCCGCGATTTAATGATTTGGGAAGTGTGAGGCTTTTATTTCGTGTCCTAGTATTCGTGGTTTCTGATGTAGAAAGGTATATATCGATTGTACTCAAAACATAGACCTAGCTGGTTATTGCTGTGAACACGCCTCGCTTGAAACAATATCATTCCACGAATGTATATAAGTGGTTGGGATAATGGTAATCTGTCAGTTCTCAATAACCTAGTCTGTGATATCTGATTTGTTTGTACTAAACTCTTAGCATAGACTAATTCAAATTCTTAGTGTGTATAGGATAATGACCAGGTCTTTTACATTCAAATGATATACAAGGCGCTCTGGCTGACAAGAATTGGATATGATATGTATTATATTGTGCTCTTGGCAGTAAAATTCTTCTTTAGAATGTACTAAATGCACTACTTCTAGAATATGTAATCCCAGCCACTTGTTTACAGGATACAATTGTTCAGTAATTCTCGGATGATTTTATAGTAGTTCTGATCTACAAAAGATAGTTATAGGTATTTACTATTGTTGTTATGGATATATCTGTCCACATCGAGCAGAGGAATTCAACAAGCGCAACCAGTGGTATAATAATCGACGGTATTCTAAGCTAAAGGAGTGAAAGCGTTTGAGTACTCATGGTACTCGAGCAAGTGGCTCTACTATACAATATAACTAGTTCAATGTCCAATATATCGTCACTGCAATTCCAACATCTTTGCAGTAAGGAAATCGGTAGTGGGGATCTTGAAAGCTGTCTCTCCGTATACAATAGTCTTATTACCAATGTACGTCCATCTTTGTGTCCTAGAGAGAATCTGATTAGTCACCTTTCCACTTTACAATTGCTCACACGGTCCTTTCTTCTGGTTGAGGATAATAGTCAAGAGCTTGCAGCTACAGTATAAGGGACTACTTACTTATCACCCGCATCAATAAACCCATAATGAGTCCTAAGAGCAATACCACTCATCCCACTACCCGGCACAGCAGTCCCATTAGTAGCGGTTTCCAACGCCGCAGTCATGCCCCTTTCCCTTCCAAGTGGTCCCGCATCAGTGAAAACACACGCCAAATCAGGACCATCGACTTTGACATCCTCGGCGAAGCAGCTGGCGTTGAATCTATGAATTTCGGGGCTATAGCCCTTCATTTCGTCTCCCCTGATCATAAAGTCTAGGGTGGATATTAGTCTACGCATTGTTGCTTTTTGTTCGGTGCGGGCTTCGTACTGTATTTGCAGGCATCTTGTCTGCACTCCATTTTATAATTCAGCACTTGCCACGGATAGAGGTCGCCGAAAGGCGGGAAGAGGGTGCTGTTTTGTGGGGATGCGTCATTTTCGCGGATACTGATGCGAGGAGAGTTGCGAAGGGGATGTTGAGAAGCATATTGGATTTTAAAAGAGTGTTTGAGGCTGGAACTGACAAATTGGGAACACCTAATGAACGGGCGACATGTTGATCGTTTGTTATATAGAGGTGGGTACGACGTCTAATATACAATGGTTTGAAGTGATTTATATGATACAATGAGTAGTTTGAAAAGGCCACTTTTCATAGGAGCGAAATGGACAGAGGCGGGGATCAGGGGAGTAAGTACTTGCTCGGAATATGCCACGCGACTTTTTGCAGGGAGGATGCTTTGATTGCACACCTTTTTGATGAAGTGAGGAAGACAGTTTCTTGGCATTTGCCATAGACAAAGTTTAGAGCATAAGGTTGTTAAAGTGTGCTGATGTTTACTGAAACACAAGGGGGCGCAGAGCAATAAACACTATCTCGCACAGTTCACCACCTCATCTCCCTTTCTGTGCTTTCATCTATCGTTGTATCTCCCCTCTCTATTTGGCTCGTCATTGTTCGTCCTTTGAATCGAAGTTCGAGATGGGGTGTACAAGTTAAATAAAGAGGTGAAATAGCGAAAATGAAAATATGGTTGACAAACAATAACTCTATTGTAGTAGTATAATGAAATCTCCTCAAGAAACTTATTTATATCACTTTCTATTAAGCAACGCTATTTCTAGGCTGTAAAAAGAGAACCATTATACGAGGAAACCTCGAAAGCTCGTATTTTTATAGTAGAAATGTCGTATTTATCGGACCCCCTATCTATACTTGACAATCGTTTAGAAGATATCTATATATTCCGACTAACGTTGATGTAAACAGAGAGCAAATCAATACGATAATTTTAGTTATACGAGTCTGTCGGAATATTGTTATTCTAAGCTAGGTATATATAGAGTAATAACCAAGTCTCCTGCTCGCGCAATAACGGAATTAAGTAGGATCGAATACCTTTCTAATTTCTCCTTCTTCTTTACCTTTCGACGGTTACTTGATTCATATGAAGGGAAACATACATCTTTATATCATGTACTAGGCAAATACCATTAACATGCTAACTGAGTATAAAGGAGACCCTTCTAAGAATAATAAACGAGCGACCGATAAGCGTCTAGACCTGGCTATTATTATGCGACTAGTGACAGAAGGTGAGGACACTATTATTCTCCTCAAATTGGTCTTCTAACTTCAGGAGGAATCTAAATTACATGCGTGGCGGTGGTAATAGCAGATACAAGAATTAGGTGGTGGTGGTAATACCTAAGGTGTTTACATGCGCGTGGGTAGGATACATAATACTGTACCCGAAGTAGTAACTTACCTCGAACAGAGCGAGTTTGCTTTATAAAAATTTACAGACTGATAGTCTAAGTCTAAGAAATAACGCTTGAAATGCTCAGCTTTCAGAAGTCCAAATAATCTCGACTAACATCTAATCCAACAACAAAAGATTCTGCTTTTCCTTTTCTCCTACTATATACAGACTAAGTTCAAAGACAAATATAAATCAGACGACGATATAACACCCTCTCACTCTCTCTCTTACCCCAAAACCAAGTTTTCCAAACAACATACAGTAAGCGAACCACCAACCAACTACCGCCCACAGCAGGATTCAGGATCAACGAAGGAATCAAGCAAGCAACTAGAAACGTGGCTCCATCCATCACAGTAGTTCCTTACCGTTTTTTTTCTCGCTCGCATGTACGAGTATGTCAGAAATGACCCACAGGACCATCTGCAAGATAATCCTCCTGGAGACTGGATACTTCCGAGGCCGAGGGAGATGTTGTGATTAGATCGCTTTACTAATTGTAGTGTCACCATCTACCTCCCACCTCCTACCATTTTCACGATCATGTCTTGTATTAAATTCTTTGATAATTGAATTCTTATAGACAGAGTACTGTAAAACTACAAACAAAGCCTCGCCATATGAGGTATAAGGAAAATAACATGTACCATCCTATCCTACCCCATCCCCCCATCCAATTGACAGACTTCATATTTCCTCCAACGCTATTTTCTTGTATTGCATGCACTATATCCCCCCTCGTCTCAAAACACAAAGTAACACACTCCAAACCCCAAAAAGGAAAGTGATATTTGCCACATGGCAAGAAAGGATTTCCCGTACCACCCATTCCATTCCTTCCCTTTTTTGACTGGGGCAAGAAGCGGTGGGGGATGTTGTGCATGTGAAGCGAAGGAATGCTGCCACGCCTTGCCTTGCCATGTGGTTCTGAGACGCTTTTTGTACTGTAGAGTACGAACACTGCATTGCCTTTCATGGTGGGAGGATTATTCATGTGGTGGCCATGCATATTCTCATTCTCTCTCGTTGTATTATGCGACGTCATGCAAGAGATGGGCAGGTGAGTGGTGTGAGATGGATGGATGGACTCGGTCGTATGCTGGGATTTGAGGTTCTTGGTAGGGTTTGTTTGCTTCTTCTGATAGGGTATTCTGATTTGTTCCATGTGTTTTATTAGGAGAGGCAAGAGGAAAGTATTAAATGAACACATCATATTCCCTTCCTCAAGCCCCATCTTCGGAGATATCAATAAAGTAACTATCTTCCACCTCCTCATGGATTTGTAAACAACTCAAAGTCGACGGATATCGCAAGACCAAAGACGGATATTACCAACACAATCCATCCCACCTTCAACCGGGAAAAACCGCGAGAGAGAGAGAGAGAGAGAGAGAGAGCTAAACAAAAAACAAAGCACACATTACAAACACTTTCCCCATCACAATTTCCCATCAGTAATCTTACCCCCTCCCCCCGACAGACATTACACCTCTCAAAAAGGAAAGACCCAACCAACAAAAACAACCATAACATCCTAAGCTTACACAATCCACTCCACTCCACTTCATCCCCACCTCCTCCTCACCACCCATCCAAACAACGTGGCAGTCCCCTTCTAGAAGCCCAAAGGAACGGTTCGCCACGTGTACCATGCGAGGTAAGTGTTTGCGTATCCTGTCCTGTACTGTACTTCCTCATGCGGTATCCAACCGTCGAGACTCGTACTATACACTATACACGTACCTGTACAGGTACAGGTAATCTTTTTAGATCCGGTCATCTTCGATAGGTAAGGTAACCTTAGCTGACTGTGTATTCCGTTCGTGAGAGGGTGTAATACGGAGGTTTTCGGTGTCCTGACGACGGGAAGATTAGAGGGGGGTTGTGTGTTGAGGGGAGATTAGTTGGTGAGTTGGGGTTATGGGGGATGCTTGTGTGGTTTGTGATGTAGGTTTGATTGGTGTGGTGGCTAGTTGTTAGATTGATGAGGTATCATTTAGAAGTACTCGGATGATGACTTGAATGATGTTAGACAGCCTAGGTGATTGACCCAAGACCTCTGTCGGATCCTCGAAGTGTACTGAAGAGATGAAATAGCAAGGGCTGCAAAACTGAGATACGTACAGTACTATCACTTTCTCGCCCTACAGAGGCTGGTAGACTTCATAAACAGTAACAGCAACATAAACCCCAACCATCTAAGAGGTGTAGTCATTACTCAAACACACGTAGGCTTAGATGATAGATATTATCCCAAAAGCCTCATACAACTAAAATAGCCAGAGGAGCGATTTGGGATAATTGTAATAAGTACATCTTTATTAACCCATTTAATCTGGGACAGTTTGATTGACTGTATAAGGAATTCTAATATAATAAGGTATAGGGTATATAGGTGTGTTTTAAGTAAAGGTCTACTATAGGATAACTTTGATATACTCGTAAGAGGAGAGATATAAAAATAGAAACAACACTTAATCTGAAAGAGGACTGCTCTTCAGCCTCTACCAGCGGATTTCTTGCTCTCAAACGAGAACAGTAATATCAGCGCGCAATCAGGAAAACAACGATTCACGTCTCCTCACCCAGGGCGCAAAACCTGACCAATTCAAGGCTTAACTGGTGCAACATCCACCATCCGCCTCCCTCCAACAGGAAATTTTGTACGAAATCCATGTGGATGAGCGGCACAAAGAAGCAAGCGCCAAGTATAAAGCCACGAGGGCTTAGGCTTGGGCTTGGTTGGACCTGGTGGCTCCTTCTCCGATCCCCATCCATATCTCTCATTGGTTATCTGCAGGAAGCCGTGGAGCGACCAGTTGGTTGGGAATGGGAAGGAAGCACCACATGGAGAAACCGACTCGAGGGCATGGAGGTCCTCGGCGCCGTGTGGGGGCGTCATGTAGCTTAATGTAAATTTAAAAGCTTCTTGTTTGTACGGAGGACAAGAGGATTCAATGATATGTAATTGTCCGAAGTTGCTCGACCGAGAAATCCGTACACTTGTAGCAGTTCATGATTCAGCAGTTGTACAAAATGAGCTACACCTTTAGAGATGAAGCAAACAGGTCTCGCTTTTTACATAACGGTCCATGCCTTCTTCACACCCCCCTTTTACACAAGTCCCTCCCGTCTTCTTTTTATAGCTTTTTATGCCACCTTGTGGCGTATGTGCAGCGGATCTGAGGAAAGACCGAACAACTGGGCAATGGGAAACTAGGGCTCAACATGGGATATTGCCCGATGGCCTGTCAAAGAAGAAAAGTGAGACGTTCTGGAACTGTCCTGGAAGACTGACACGAGACTTCGTGATGGCGGTTGACGTTATGGGCGGAGGGGAAATGACGGCAGGGCGGTGGGTGACCGTGCTGAGATGTTTAGGACGGACGTGGATGCGGTGGTGAGAAGTGATATAAATCGACACGGAGTGACGGAGAACAACTCCGTCGTGGAAAGGAGATGAGAAGGGCTCGAGAGGTGGAAAAGTGGTACGACGCAGGAATAGCGAGTGTAATTGAATGTGAGGTACGAATA